AGGGCAGTTCTGTGAGGGCGGTTCTGTGAGGGAGGTTCTGTGAGGGCGACTCTGTGAGGCTGTTCCGCCATCTTGGCTCCCTCAGGGCGAATGTGGCCGCCTCGGCACTCGCAGATGATCCCTCGGGTCTTTGCCCGCCCAGACGGGGCGAGCGGCCCCCGCAGCTCCTGCACCCACCAGGACACGAGAGACAGTGCTGAGACCGTACAAACTTTAATATAAATGTAAAAAAAGGAGAAGAGAGAGGCACAGCAGCGGCACTGATACAATAACTCTGCTGAGGCCACGATCAGGACATTGTACATTTACATTGATAGATTCAAATACTGTTCAGCAGTGCATAAATGCGTCATATGCGCACATTAAAGCACCTTAGTGTTATGCACCCACACCCTTACAGTGTAAATATACAGTGATAGAAAATGAGGAAGATTTCTGGAGAAAGAAACCCCTAGTCCACAAAGGCACACGTCCACTTCCACATCATGTCCCTGCAGGTTCACCTCCTTGAGATCAGCTACTGAGGTGACAATGACAAAAGGCACCGAGGTTACTGAGGCAGTGCTGAGATGTGTCACAAGGTAAATGTTCATCTGCAGAAGGACATCCCTGGGCTAGTGGAAGAAGGAAAGCTGCGAGTCTTCAGGATGGAGAAGGTCCTTTCTCCCTCACTTCTGTTACAGCTGAGGTTGGGGTTTGCTGCAGAGATACGGCAGCTGCGTTGAACAGTCCTCACTCCTGAGTACATTGTCTGCCAGGTACACACACTCTGAATTGCCAAGGACCTCCAGCCTGCAATGAGGAGCAGAGACAGCACTGTCACAGGGCAGGTCTGTTAACAGGACAGGTCATCTCTGCCCATTCCCCCCAGCACATGAGGAGGGACGGTCCCAGCAGCCTCGTCCCCCCCATCCCCTGCCCGTCCCCCCGGGACTCACGAGGAGTTGTAGCTGCTGCCGTCCACCCACTGCAGCCGCTCGCCCCGTCTGCGCAGCCCGAGCCAGTAATCCAGGTTGTCACTGAGGTGGAAGGCGAAGTTCTGGGAGGGAGAGAGGAGCAGACAGTGAGAGCTGCCCCAGCCCAGGAACCCCCCTCTGCCACCCACACACCCCCTAGAGCCCCTCACTCACCATTTCCTCGTCGCTGAGCACGGCCAGGGAGGCCCCGAGCTCAGAGCACCGATTCTGAGCCTAGTCCCAGCTCCTCCAATCCAGTGAGAAGTAGTAACAGACCCTGTTGTGCTGATCCCAGGCCTCAGGACAAGGCACCAAACATGGACCCTTAGATGTAACTGGTGGAATCTCTGCAGGACTAGGCACCAAGTATGGACCCTTAGGTGTATCTGGAATCTCTCCATGACTTTCTTCTGGAGAGAGAAAGGGAGAACGTCTGAGGATTCCCCTCCCCAGGGAACCCAGCCCTGTGCCCAGAGCTGCCTCTGTGCCAAGGCAGCTGCTCCTTCCTCACCCGCCGACACAATCTTATCCAAAGCCGGGTTCAGGAGCACAGACAGCACCAGGAACGCAGTCAGCCATGGGTGGGATCTCAACCACTTGCCTGGAGCTGGAAAGAGCCACTGGCCGTGAGGACGGGGCTGTGCTGAGCAGGCCCAGCCCTCACATCCCCCCAGCCAACACCGGAGCAGCCAGAAGTGTCGGCACTGACCACTGACGGGGCCCAGAGGCCTCTTGCCCAGAGGGCCCCCCGGGATGTGTTTTCCCTGGGATGGAACACGGGAAGGGACGGGGCTGCCAGCGCCGACCAGGACATGAGGGACAGTGCTGAGGCTGTACAAACTTTAATACTGATGCCTGCTCAGCTGGTGCTAAGGAAAAATCTAGGAGCCGTTAGTTGGGGTGTGTCGCGACGCGGGAAGAAAGAGACACTCAATATGAGAATCCACAAGCTTCATTTATTGATCATTGCTACCAGCTTAATATACACTTTATAATTAGCTCATACATATTGCAAAGCTAAGCTCATTATTGGTACTTACTTAAATGGTGATCTCACCTCTACTCCCTTCTTTTGTTGACACAGGTGGCTCTCAGTTGCTTTTGTTTTGCTAATCACAACCTCCTGTTTACCAGCCAACTAACACGTACAAGGACACTGTAATCTTGCCATGGCCTTGCTATCTCAGATTTTCTCACGGGCCTAGACAAGCTGTGTTCTATACTCTAACAGCCCGTCCATAGCTTTAGCCATATCCATATGTCCCTGTGCTGCTAACCAATTCCCCACAGGGGTGAGATAAGGAAAGGGTTCAATAGTGCCAAGGCAATTGATGGTACACGACGTGCGCGTCCGGGCTGTGCCCGAGATGTTACATTTATAACAATATCTGGCCAATCTCAAGTCTGTCTATCTTCTGATTTTTGCTCTGGTTCACTCCCTGGCCCACCTCCTGGAATTGGGTCTGGGGTGTTTTTCGGGACCCTCTCTTCATCATCCTTCATCATCTTTGGGGTACAGAGAGCAGAGTCACTCAGTTCTTTGACTCTGTCCTGCGGTTTAGGCCAAGATAGAAGCGTTCTCCAAACAAGACAGGCTTGCCTTGACTAAGAGACAAAACATTTTCTACTGGATACGGGGATAGGGCTGATATGGGGGGTATGGAATGGGGTAAGAGGGAGAAAGGAATGTATAAACTAAGGGGTGCTCCGGGGAAGGGGGAAAGGGTTGTTTCTAAAATCTACTTCTATTACCTATAAAACTTATAAGGTAGAAAAATAAAAAAACCTTTAGGGGTTTAAGGCATCAGTCCCCCCTTTAGAGATTAAACAAGATTCAGAGATCTTGTTCAATCTCTACTACTTACACATAATACTAATCATATAACAAGCTATCATGCAAACTTAATGCTAACATGAATGGCTGCTCTAACCAGGTTCAGCTTGGTAACTATGAAGTAAGTTTGTGAAGGCAAACTTAGTGAAACATTTCCAAGAATTATCCAATATATAATTCAAATTTGTTGCCAAATTCATAGTGCAAATTTAGCATTCACCTTTATGAAGGATGTTTGGTATATTTTGCTAAAGCCAAACGTAAATTTAGGTTCTAAACTCAATTCATAGTTACTGGCAGTACTAATAAATACAAACAAGCGAGGAAAACTTAAACACTATTTTAACAGTCCTTAGAAATAACAGTCTTTGTTGCTCTACTCGTCTCAGGGACAGAGGTTCTCTTCTTCCTGGGTGAAATTCAGGATCTTGATGATAACTCTTGACCACGATGGAAATGGTCTGTTGGACTTGAAAGCAGTTCTTTCTGTTTGGTTTTCTTTCTGTTTGGTTTGCAGGAGTTTCAGTTCCAGTGTTTAACATAAACTCAGCCTTTGGGCTGGAGCAGGTGAGCAGGAGTGTGTCCAGTCTCACAGGCTTAGGTGATTCAATGAACTTCTACAGTTCCTGCAAAGTAGATCTTAAAACATAGACAATTTTACAAATAAACTTCCTTAGGTGACCAGGGAGTCGATGGCGTGTGACTCTCTGTCTGATGACAATTTCACAGGAATTTTAGATCTTGGAATTCCTGTATTTCAATCTTTTGAGAGAGGAGCTTGTGCTTTTATCACATAAAGTGATCAACTGCCAGTCACAGATCTAACAGGCCAGTTAAGAGCTTACCTGAGGCAGGCTGCATCTGGATGCAAACAGCACCCTGGCAGTGCCAGTCGCTCACCACAGAGAGTTTATACTCTCTGGACAAATTCTAGGCCTTACCGGGGGCAGGTTGTCCTGTTCCAACCTGTCCCAGACTGCAGTCAATCATCTTTACCTCATGGAGTGGTCATACAGGGGCCTCTTGCCTCCATGGATAAAAGCTTCCACACCTGTTAAAATAGGTGCATTCACAGATACATGAATACTAATGAAATAATAAAGCTGGAAAGCAATTTCAGCAAACTACTTAAGCAACTTAAACCAATTATTCCAACAACTGATGTTACCAGGTCGTCTCAAAGATTGCAGGCAATGGTGCAAGCCAGATTTTTAGAGGCTTATTAGGAGAGTCCACAGAACCAGTGCTGTTGTAGTGCTGCCTCAGCACTGAAGTCACTTTTTATCTGTCCTTGGTATTAGTGTAGGACTTCTTTTTGCAATTCGGGTTCACGTACATTCCTAGATGACACTAGATATGAAAGCATCTTAAAAACATAAGTAGATAAACATGATTCCACAATTCACATGAAAATTCTATGGACCTTCATCAAACTGCTTGGAGAAATTTTTCCACAGGCTGCAGTAGCCTAAGAAACATAGATGTTTACAAATTGCTGCTGGAACAAGATATGTGCAAGCATAAACATTGCAAGCTTTAAAGCAATTCATGTAGTAAAAGCAAAAGCAATATAGGCTTTCAATTTTTAGCAATTAAGCTAACAACAAGAGAAACTTAAAATAATATAGAAATACTAAAACAGCAAAACAAATACAATAATTGCAATATATGTAATGTACTGCTTTTAATGCAAATTGATTTTCAATTGTGTCAGAAGGCTTTTATGTTGGCTTCTGTCTACTCACTCTTGATGTTATCGCAGCTTAACACTCTTTGGTTCTGATGTATTTCATTTGCAGTTAAGACATTTGTCTACTTCTGCAAAAAGTTGTTCTCATGGCTTCCAGTTTGAATTTCGGTGGTACTGCTTTTCAGGTCTGTTTGCTAGAACAGACTACCTGTAAACAGTCAATTTCTGACACATTGTTAGTTCCCATTCAGAGCAAAACAGTGGTCTCCTTTCTAGATTTTGCCACAGCTCCCTGAAACTCACTCAGGGCACAGAGGGCAGGAATGTTCACAGGTTGTGAGCCTGAAACAGGCCTGGAACACAGGGGCCAATATAATTAGCTCTTCTTCCCCCCCCTTTCCGTGTTAGCCAGTCTAACAGGCGAGGGAGAGGCCACAGTGGCGGCCAGTCCGTGGGACAGTGCTGGTCGCTCAGCCTTCCGTACTGTGTCCATTCCTGTCGGGCTCTCTTTGGGAACCCACTTCACCACAGGGACGGGGCCAGAGTGTTTTAGGCAAGCTTCTCTTTTGAATTTCCCTTCTCGCTGTTGCAAAAAGTATTTTTCCTGGTTTTCTGCCGCTTCTGGACTCTGTTGCTATAGCAACGACTGCAAGCCAGAGGCTCACATCGGCAGGGCTGTGCCAACTTAGCAGGCGGGGCAGGACCTGGGGCGGACCGGGGCAGGACCAGTCCTGTCCGAGCCGCCCCCTTCCCTTCCAAAATAGGGAGTCCAAGCTGTCCGACTCAGCCAGCGGCTCCACCCACCGCGGCCCCGGGGGTCCGAAACTGGGCTTCCCAGAGCCATGGGGGAAAGCTGCGATTATTGGGGGGAGAGTGTGGGCGACCGAGCCACCCTCGGTAACCAAAGCAACCGGTTGGCCTCTCGCTGCAAAAGCAGTGAGTCCCTCTGGAGGGTCTGTCACCCCCCTTTTAGGAACAGAAGCGACCGCAGTGCTGTATGGGCCCAAGTCTTAAATTTAACTTTCCAGGAACCTGTGTTCCCCACCTCCCAGGAAGACAAACTTTCCCGCAGCTGCTAACTAAACCAGGTACCTTTTCCCTTATTTTGCCTTTTCTTATCTCACCTCTGTGCTCCGGCTTGCTTCTGTGGGTTCTGTGGAACTGGGCTTCTCAGACCGGGGCGGGAATTGTCTCAGATAAAAGCCGGATTGATGAGGAATTCCTGCACGATGAAAGTTTCCAGTCTGGAGAAGTTCCAGTCCAGGTCTCCCCGTGAGGGCCACCAAACTGATGCCTGCTCAGCTGGTGCTAAGAAAAACTCTAGGAGCTGTTAGTTGGGGTGAGATAAGGAAAGGGTTCAATAGTGCCAAGGCAATTGATGGTACACGACGTGCGCGTCCGGGCTGTGCCCGAGATGTTACATTTATAACAATATCTGGCCAATCTCAAGTCTGTCTATCTTCTGATTTTTGCTCTGGTTCACTCCCTGGCCCACCTCCTGGAATTGGGTCTGGGGTGTTTTTCGGGACCCTCTCTTCATCATCCTTCATCATCTTTGGGGTACAGAGAGCAGAGTCACTCAGTTCTTTGACTCTGTCCTGCGGTTTAGGCCAAGATAGAAGCGTTCCCCAGACAAGACAGGCTTGCCTTGACTAAGAGACAAAACATTTTCTACTGGATACAGGGATAGGGCTGATATGGGGGGTATGGAATGGGGTAAGAGGGAGAAAGGAATGTATAAACTAAGGGGTGCTCCGGGGAAGGGGGAAAGGGTTGTTTCTAAAATCTACTTCTATTACCTATAAAACTTATAAGGTAGAAAAATAAAAAAACCTTTAGGGGTTTAAGGCATCAATACAAATGAGTAAAAAAGGAGAAGAAGAGAA